TTCATTTGGAAGGAGCTGTCTTCAATCTCTGAGATTCTTTCTTCTGTTTGATCTACCCTGTTCTTGAGGCTTTCCACAGTGTTTTGAAGTTCCCTGAATGAGTCCTTTATTTCCAGGAGTTCGGTTTGATTTTTCTTTAATATTTCAATTTCTTCAGTGAATTTTTCTTCCAATTCCTGGATTTTTTTTGTGGTTTCTTTGTGATGGTTATCCATTTTTCCTTGGATATCATTGAGCTTACTTATAATCCATGTTTGGAATTCTTCTTCTGTCATTTTTGTATTCTGGACCTGGTTAGTGTTCAGTGCTAGAGAGCAGGTGTTCTTCTTTGGGGGTGTGCTTTCCGTTTGATTTTTCATACTTCCAGAAATCTTTCTCTGGGTCCTTCCCATCTGGATCCGCTGTTACTTTTGTTTTGTTCTGCTGCTAGAGGGAGCCACTAGTATGTTGTCCACGGCTCTCTTGATGGGCGGGGTTACTTGGGGAGCTTGTTTTGGTCCCTTGCTGGGCTTTCTCTGTTGGTAGCTGACCGGAGGCGGAAATGCAATGGTACTGGGTGACCTGAACCGGTCTGGCGAGGAAAGTCACTGGGCTGTCAGCTATTGGTCAGTGCCAAATACCCAGGGACTGGCGCTTGTCGCAGAGGGGAAGTGGCTCTTTATGTCTCTCTGCTGCAAGCTCCGAGGCCAGGCAGAAGGCGCTGGCTAGGGGGAAGGGGCGCTCCACCAGACTGCCCAATTCCCCAGCGCTTTCAGCCTCCACAGGCGTCCTCCCCCCACAGGCAAGGAGGCACTCAGAAATCAGAGGAGGCACTCAGCATTCACTGCTCAAAGAAACGGGCCCAGCCAAGTGACCCCGGGTCCTGGAAGGGCAGAGCTCGCTGCGAGAGTTCCCAGGCCAGGGGCAGGGAGCCGTTCCGCACCCGCGACCTGCCGTGGGCCCCGAGCTGGCGCTCGCCGGCCCCCAGTGCGCTGGCTCCAGAGGGAGCCTCTCAGGGGCTGGGAGGTACCGATCAGGGAGTCAGTCGCGTCACCAGGGTGCTCCGCCATCTCCTCTGTGTCTCCCTCCCCCGATCTCACGCCAGTCCTGCAATAGCTCTCGCTTCTACTGGCCCACCCTGAGCAGTCCCAGTCGCCCGTGGCAGTTTCCAGGTTAGAGTCCTCTACTCAGTAATCACCTCCTCGTTCAGGACCCGCTGGGTGCTAGAGACCAGCTTCCAAGGTCCTAACTGCCTCAGGCGGTAGCCCAGCCCAGCTCCTCCCCTGTCCGGTGCAGTCCTGACACAGAGCTCTGGGAAGTTCTAGATGCTTCCCACTCGTGTCTCCTCTCTGCTGAGTCCCACGTTTCCAGACCCAGTTCTACATCTACTTGACACAAGCGCCTGCCTCTCGGTGGGCTTGTAAGTCAGTGGGGAAGCTACACTGTCTCGTCAGGGACTTGTCCCAGTGCACTTACTGGCCAGGCTGGCGCCGCCCTCTCGCGCTCCACTCTCTATTGTCTGTCGGCGCTTTCCAGGTTTTATATTCCTATCTCCCGTTGGCTTTGTTCTTTTTCCCGATTTGCGTGTCCCCCGCTGAATCTCCGCCGATTCACCTCACTGTTTTCGCAGGAGAGTGATCCGATCGTGTGTAGCAGACCGAGATCTACCTCTCCCTCTCTGGAAGCAGGGATTCGGGAGGCTACCCTAACTCCGCCATTTTTTCTCCTCCAGGGTCCATAATTTTTTTTTTTTTTTTTTACTTTTTCAAAGCTCCCTCATATCTCATCTAGTCCTCACAATAACTCTGAAACAAGAATGATAAACAATATTGTTTCAGCTCACCAATAAAAATGAAAAATAACATTAACAAAACCTATACTATATGTCAGTCATGTGCTATGCACTTTAAACAAGTTATCTCATTTGATCCTCAAAACAAACCATAAGTCATATAATATGATTCACATTGGACATATGAAGAAACTTAGGTTCAGATAAGTTAACTAATTTTGTCAAGGTCACACAGCTGATATAAATCAGATTCTAGATTAAACCTATTCCTATCTTACTCTGGATCTTAACTCTTAATCAGTATGTTATATTGCCCTTCAACTTAAAAAATACGTATTATAAGGTTAGTAGCAGACACCATTGGTAGTTTAGGCAAAACTATCATTCCAGTACTGACACTTCATGCCATACATTTTTCTTTGCTTACAGACTCATGATTTTATTCTACTGTTCAGCCTTCTTCTAGAGGTTGTATTAATACTTAGAGAATCTCTCTCTATCGCTAGCCACTGTGCGTTAGATCTTGATTAATTGAAGCCACTCACAGTAAATCTTTCCCCTTGCCCAGGGATTGCGTTAGAAAGTTGCAAATGACCTAGTCCAGTCCAAAGAGATATGGGAGAATGATTTCTGGAGACATTTTAGGAAGGAATTCCTAGATTAAAAAAAAAAAAAAAAATGGTCCCTTATTCCAAAAGGTAGAGATAGTCCTTAACTCTACTCTGTGGACTTTGGTTTATAATGCCTGGAGCTGCTGCAGCTCTCTTTCTACCATGAGGCGATTCATCCTACTACACATGACAGAACAGAATGACAGAAAGAACTTGAGTTCTGACAATGTTACTAATCTGTTGTATTAACCCTGGAATTACTCCAGTTTTAGACATCTTGTTAGGTTATGTAATAATAAATTGCTTATTGTTTAGGCCCATTGAATTAGGATTTTCTGTTATTTCCAGATGAAAATAACCTAAGAGAAGGCTTTAATGATATGTGTTCTTCTATATTGCTGAAACCTTTGAATTATTGTTTGACTTTTGATACTAATTTCTAATTCATTAGGTAACCCGCCTCCTTTTGAAATTTGGCGCTGATGTAAATGTAAGTGGTGAAGTTGGAGATAGGCCCCTCCACTTAGCATCTGCAAAAGGATTCTTTAATATTGCAAAACTCTTGATGGAAGAAGGAAACAAAGCAGATGGTAAGATTATACATTTAGAAGACTTTTACTATCATTTACTTTACACATACTTTTTCTTATACTTCCCTTACTAGAGAATAATCTTGAAGTTGATTAATTCTGTGGTCATGTACTAATTTGTTATACAAGTTATAATTTATTATCTTTAATATATGTATTTAACCTACATGTGAATCCTTCTTTACATGCTTTAGCTCAATTCTTAATACATTAGATGCTTCAGTGAGCATAAGAAGTTTCCTTAGATAAAGTAGTTCGATATGTTGTTATTCATTTATCTTTATCTTTAAATTGAGGTATAATTTACATATAGCAAATTCTCAAATCTTAAGTATACAGCCTGATGAATATTTATTTATGCATATATTTTGTGTAAAAACTACCCAAATCAAGATTTAGAATATTTCATCACTCTGGAACGTTCCCTTGTACACCCATTTCAGTAAATAGCCTTTGCCACCAAAGTTAATCAGTATTCTGGCTTCTGTTGCCATAGACTGATTTTGTTTGTTTTTGAAGTTCACATAATTTGTGACTGGCATCTTTTCCTAACAAGATGATTTTAACATTTATACATGTTGTTCTATGAATCAAAGTTTGCTCTTTTATATTGTTGATGATTACAGGAATACACTACAATCTGTATGTACATTCTACTCCTAATGGACATTTTAATATTTCTGGTGTTCCTCTATTATGATGCCAGTGCCAGCAGCATTCTTATTCAAA